AAAAAAAAAGTTCTCTCTTAATATTCATCAATCTCAACTGTTCTAGTTCAAGAACAGGCACACTTTCCTTGCAATAAAATTTGTTCTGAAAGAGTTCTCAAACTCCTCATTCCCAAAAGTGGTTTCTAAGAGGATTGGCTTTATTTGAGTGGAGATAGGCGGTGGCAGTGTGGTCTGTCATCTCACGGGATGCTCTACCTTGAAAGAAACTAAGATCTGGTCCAGACTTCAAATATCTGAGCTCCTTTCCTGGCCCAGGAGCCTGGGAGAGCAGGAAGCCGTTGAGGGTCACTCTTCCGATGATAAACACCCCTGTATCAACATGAATACACTTATGTCCTTTAGACACACTCCTTTTAGGGACAGCTTCATCAACTCATACCCGAGTCCCTGGGCCAGGGTCGGTGCCAAGGAAATATTCATTCAAGTGTAATAGTCTAAAGTGAAGTCAGAGACTGAAAATTATCCCCCCCCCTTTTTTTTCTACCCGTAGGTAGAACAAGAATGGACGGCTCCAAATAAATAGGTTCCACCCTTTATATGATAAGGTTCTTGGGGGGGGTATTAGGGTCTGTACTTTGGTGCACAAATCACAGAAGTGTTTTTCTTTTTCTCCCCCAGTGTTAACTTTTTTAAAATAGATTTTATTTATTTATTTTAGAGAGAGAGAGAGAGTGCGTGAGCAGGGGGAGCAGAGGAGGAGAGGGAGAGAGGGAGGGAGGGAGGGAGGGGAACAGAATCTCGAGCAGGCTCCCCGCTGAGTGTGGAGCCCAACGGGGGAACTGGTTCATCCCAGGACCCTGACATCATGACCTGAGCCGAAATCAAGAGTCAGACACTTAAATGACTGAGCCACCCAGGTGCCCCCACAAGTATTAATTTTTAAGATGGACACCTTCATACCATAGTTGATATTATTTTGACCACATTTTTGGTGCAATAATTCTGAGATATAATGAAAAGGAAGACAGTGGATTTTTTCATTTTGCAATCTCTTGTTCCTTACGCCGCCTGAAAAAAAGCTCATAACTTATAACTCCAGGGACACCTGGCTGGCTCAGTCAGTAAAGAATGTGACTCTTGATGTCGGGGTCCTGAGTTTGAACCCCACGTTGGGCAAAGAGAGGACTTAAAAAAAAAACAACTCTCATTCAAGACAATGTTGACCAAGCTTTAAAAGGAAAACAATGCAGATGAAGCAGATGAAGCCAATTCTCATTTTACCTTGTATTTGTGAGTCAACCTTTCCAAATCAACTGGGCTTGTATCAGAATCCATCAGACCAGGAAGTTCTACAACCAAAATAAGAACAGCCATTCAGACAGAAGGAATCCACAGAAAAGCCAGAGCACAGGACCATTGGGATTTTCTTATTTTAAATCAGTTTGCTCTAGAGGAAACGACAGGTTAAAATAATATTTTGGAGAAATACTGTGTAGCTTTGCAGACGCAAACCCCAGGGTCATTCCCAGGTGTCCTGGAATTCTCCCCTGGGTTTGAAGGGGGAGGGGGGAACGTGTCCACACTTCTCAAGCACAAGCGGTTTTCCGTCTGAGGGCACAGCAGGTCCAGGACCGCCCTCCCACCCTGACCCTGAGCCTGGGCCGAGCTGGCCCAGCCCCACCTCCCCACCACCCCACCTCATTGGAAGGCTGGGGACACCCCTTCTTAAGCCTTCACACTTTATGCCGGGGGAAACAGAGGAATCCCCATCTCAGCCCTGCCCTCACACCAGGGTCTCGTCACCCTGCAGGTCTGACTCCTGGAAGATGGGATGTTCCTTCATAAGGGGAAAGAAAAGGGGGGTCTCCAAGCCAAGGACTCCAAACCTAGGGGGCGGGCCCCCCCGGGGAGGCTGGCCTCACTTCCACGCGGCAAGGACCCCACGCGGGACCTAGACCCAGCTGCCCCGGTCCCTTCTTGCCGGCGGAAGCCCACCCGCGTCCGACCCCGGGCCTCGCGGCGTCGCAGGCCCCCGTCGGGCCGGCAGCTGCGGGGAGAGGCGCCGCAGGTGGTAAGCCGCTCGGCGGGGCGGGCGCACCTGGCCCACGCACCTGTGCGCACCTGCCCGGGCCTGGGCCGGAAAAGCAGCCCCCGACGTAACAAGGAACTGGCTCCCGAGGGCGACTCCGGGTGGGGCGCGCTTCACTCAAGTCGGGGCCACCCGGAATGGGCTCCGGCGGGCGGGCCGGGCTGATGCTTCTGCGGCGCAGCCGCGGGCGGGCGCGCAGGGCCCCGGGCCGCCACCGCACACTCACCTTCGGAATAGCATGTCCATTTTGTTCCCAGAGTGACCGTCGCCGAGCCCCGAAGGGGGGTCTGCGGGCCGGACCTGTGTGACGTCACCGCCATCTCCGCGGCGACCCGGCGAGCGGCCCCTCCCGCCCGGCCCAGGCCCCCGGACGCCCGCGCCCCTGCGCCCCGCGGCTCGCGTCCGCCCTCCCGCGCTCCGCTCGCGGCCAGGGAAGCCTAAGGACGTGATTTGGTCACAAAACCTTGCGTGACTCCCCTGTGGCCCGGGATGACGTCCAGACCTTTTAACGCGCCCTCCCGGCGCCCCGCTCCAGCAGTACCTGAGAACTGCTCCCGCGCCCCGGCTCCAGCCACTCCCACCTCTCCTTCCAGATTCGGGCGGGCACCAAGCCCCCTCCCCTCCCCACCACCCACAGCTCGGACTTCTCTGGGGAAATGCTCTCTTCACCCCGCCACACCTCTGGCTTTCTTCACATATGGAGCTGAGTTTGGCTCCTCCTCCAGGAAGCCTCCCGGGACCTCGGGTCTTGGTTAGGAACCCCTCCTCTGCGTTCCCACAGCAGGCCAGATCAGCTGTGCAGAAGTTGTCTATGGATTTCTACCGGCTCACAAGACTGGTGGATGAGCCTAGGGGTTCCAAACCCAAGGCCCCTTCCCCCCAACCTTCCCCCAGGGTGCCCAGCATAGTAACTGCTCAAAAATATATTTTGAGGGGCGCCTGGGTGGCTCAGTCTGTTAAGCGTCTGCCTTCGGCCTGAGTCATGATCCCAGGGTCCTGGATCTAATCCCACATCAGGCTCCCTGCTCAGTGGGGAATCTGCTTCTCCCTCTAACCCTCCCCCCTGCTCACACTCTCTCTCTCAAATAAATAAAATCTTTAAATATATATATAATGAATCACAGGTACTGGTGAATTGAATATGCCACAAATCATGTTAGCTGTGAACTCACTAGGGTTTTTTTTTTAGTGATTTCTGAAGTCAGGAAGTGTGGATCTTCCAACTCTGTCCTTTTTTACGATCGTTTGGCCCTTCTGGATCCCTTGCATTTCCATGTGAATTTTAGAACCTGCTTATCAATGTCTGCAAAAATGTCAGCTGGGATTTGATACGGATTGTGTTGGATGTGTAGGTCAATTTGAGTAGTATTGCCGTCTTTTTCTTTTTTTAAGATTTTATTTATTTATTTGACAGAGCAAGACACAGCGAGAGAGGGAACACAAGCAGGGGGAGAGGCAGAGGGAGAAGAAGGCTTCCCGCCGAGCAGGGAGCCCAGTGATCCTGGGATCATGACCCGAGCCGAAGGCAGATGCTTAACGACTGAGCCACCCAGGTGCCCCGAGTAGTATTGCTGTCTTAACAATATTATGTCAGATGCTCGACATCACTAATCATCAGAGAAATGCAAATCAGAACCACAGTGACCTATCACCTTACACGTGTCAGAATGGCTGTATCCAAAAAGACAAGAAAGAAGTTTTGGCAAGGAGGTGGAAAAAAAGGAATCCTCATGCACTGTTGGTGGGAATATAGATCAGAGCAGCCACTGTGGAAAACAGTATGGAGGTTTCTCAAAAAATTAAAAATAGAAATACCATATGCTCTAGTAATCCCACTACTGGGTATTTGCACAAAGAAAACAAAAACACTAATTTGAAAAGATACACGCACCCCTATGTTTATTGCAACATTATTTACAATAGCCAATTATGGAAGCAACCCAAGTGTCCATCAATAGATAAAGAATGGGGCGCCTGGGTGGCTCAGTCGTTAAGTGTCGGCCTTTGGCTCAGGTCATGATCCCTGGGTCCTGGATCAAGTCCCACATCGGGCTCCCTGCTCAGTGGGGAATCTGCTTCTCTTTCTACCCTCTCCCAGTGCCTGCTCTCTCTCTCAAATAAATAAAATCTTTAAAAAAATAGATAAAGAAGATGTATGTGTATATATATATACATACACAATGGAGTATTGGCCATAAAAATGAATGAGATCTGGCCATTTATGACAATATGGATGGACATAGACAGTAGTATGCTAAGTAAAATAAGTCAGACAGAAAAAGACAACTACTATATGACTTCACTTATATGTGGAATCTAAAAAAACAAAACAAATGAAAACAAAAATCAGAAATAGATCCATAAATACAGAAAACAAACTGGTATTTGCCAGAGAGGAGAAGAGGTGGGGGGATGGGCAAAACAGGTGAATGGGAGTGGGAGATACAGACTCCCAGTTATGGAATGAATAAGTCAAGGGGACGAAAGGTACAGCATAAGGAATACGGTCAGTGGTACCCTAATAGCGTTGCATGGTGGCAGATGGGAGCTATGCTTGTGGTGAGCACAGGGTAATGTACAGACCATGTGGTACACCTAAAACTAATGTAACATTGTGCGTCAACTATACTTCAATAAAACACAATACACACAATACTGAGTCTTCCAATCCATGAACATAGGATGTCTTTTCATTTATTAGGTCTTTTTAAATTTCTTTCAACAATGTTTTAGTTTTCAGCGTGCAAGTCTTGTGTTTCTTAAATTTATTGCTAAGTGTTTTATTCTTTTTGTCTTTTTTTTTTTTTTAAAGATTTTATTTATTTATTTGACAG